TGGAATAGCTGTGGAAGACAGTGCTCCATTGCCGGGCTATCACTTATTCATGACTCTCTAATTACAGTTCATCTGCCAGAGACTACCCAAGACAGAACAAAAACCTCAACCCACCCAAGCATCCCTCAGCTCACCTTGCCAGAGAGCACAGGACTGATGCTGCCAGTGCTGCTCCTGGGCTTCAGCATTGCTGCACTGGATCTGATGGCTGGTAGAAGGGAGGATGGGTTAACTTTCATTTTTGAGTTGGTTCTGCTTGAGTTGCTCTCTGCGTACCCTCAGCCCCTCACCGCAGCTTTGCACCCCCACTAGCTCAGTCCTTGTCTCCTAGCAGTGCTCCGAGAGGCTGGGTATCACTCATGCAAGCTCGGCTCAGCTCTCAGGAGAGTTAAACCTCCCAGCTGCCAGACTGAATTAGGGCTTGTGTCTCTCCACACTTGCATCAGAGTGAGTTGGGAACAGGCCTGGTGGAGCCACACTGCTGAAAACAAGTGAGGAGCACAAGCAGGGGCTGGGAGAGAGGGGTGAGCAGGGTGGCAGGGAGAGGAGGTGGGGGTGAGTGAGCTGTTTGAAATATTCAGGTGCTGAGCAGGAGCAGGTGGCCATCCCATGGGACAGAGCAGTTCTGACACCACAAAAAAGTGATGACCAAGTCTGTGTTGCCCAGGTGATGGGGCACACAGAATGGATTGCAGCCATACCCCAGGACCTTGGCCAGACTGACAGACCTGGCCTATACAATGACCCCTAAACATGCGGTGGGTTTTAGTCCCTTCCCTAGAAGAGCGACTTCCCTGCCAGCCAGGTCCTGGGGAGAGCTTGCTGGGACAGGGATGCTTCTCCAGGTCAGGGTATGTCGACTCCAACCCTTCAGCATGGGGAAGGTAAACTGCAACAAAAACCTATTTTCTGCTTTTAGGGAGGTGACTCCTAGGACCATAACTAGAGATAGACTGAATTCCCTGAGCCATTTGTTTCTGTGGTTTATTCCTTTCTAGGGGTGATGGGCCAAAAATTTAAGTGAGAACAAAGCATTTGGCAAGGGAGGATTTGGCTCAGTTTCCAGGCACTTGGGGCTGTTGCCGCTGCTCTGGAGTTATATCGGACAAAATGTCCTGAGGACTGTCAAACAGCATCTGGGCAGTGCTGAATCCGCTTTTCATTCCTAGGGGGGATGTGAGGGAGGGCCCTGGGTGTCCTGCTGGGCTACTGCAGAGAGGAAAGTGATTTAACCTGACCCAGAAACCTCTGTGGAGCCTCACAGAAGCTGTGATGATGACAAAATAGACTCTCATGAGGCTGGATGGAAAACAAACAAACTGTACACAGGCAGCCTGTTGGAAAAGAAAGGATCAGAGAAGGGATCAAAGACTTTTCAATGACAGCAATTCTATTCAGTGAAATGTGCCCCAGAGCGGCAGCTACAAACCCACCTACTTTGTGAGGTTTAAGATTTTGAGTGTTTGAGGACTGCAGTTGTGATGTGTACCCCTGCTAGTGATGCCAAACAGAAATGAGTTCCCCAGTCACCAACTAATGACCTCTGGGTGTTTCCTTGCCACAATAAAAAAAGCACACCTGAATCTCCTCCCAGCAGACATGAAGTCTGAGTGCAGCAGATGAAAACACAACTAATGACACATATTTCCTTGAGGACAGAGCTTGCAGAGGTAGATGGCACCCAGACAGTCAACACCACTGACCAGCAGTGGCAAAGGGATGTTGTTTAACTGGAGCAAGAGGCACATTCCTTCACCCACACTCCCCTTGTTGCATTAATAAGGAGTAATTTAATTGGAGTGACACATTCTGGAAGGCTCAGGCAGCCAACACAAAGTATCCTTGAAATTTCTAAATTGAATAGGCATTAATTTCTGAGCATAGAAAATCCTGCATCCTAACATGAGGGGATTCTCTGCCACGCATCTTCTTAGGAGACAAAAAGCAGCAGCACACCGCTAGGAATCATTGATTGCTTTGGAACAAAAGACTGAGTCTTGATCACACTTGGTCTATTGGAAAAATAAAGCTAAACACAATTATATGTATATCTATATCATGTTGTAAAATCCATTTTTATATTTAGGCTACAAATACCAGCACAAGGATAGGTTATCTATGGCCATCTGGTTTAAAATGCAGCCTGCATCAAAATTTTTTCTAGAAATTGAATGCAAATTTGCTGCATGGGTAAGAACTAATAACATATTTAAGCAGGAACTAAAAGGCTATTTTCTGTAACTACCAGAGACAGGAGAGTGAGACCTTTTGCGGTTTGATGCATTATGGAAAGTGAACGAATCCTGCTAATATGATGTCATGCTTTATGCTTGCTTGGAACAGATATGAATGTCTCTGCAGGGTGGCAGATACAGGGTTTCTGGAGAACAAACCTATTGGTAAGGGCACCACCTCTACTTCAGTTGCCGTGTCTTCTTAAAAGCCTCTCTGCTTCTTTCAACCATTTTGTCACATCAGAAAGGCCTCCATCCCAGAAATATCCCACTCTCCAACATGATTTTCCAGCAGAGCATACTGAAACCTACAGGAATAACTGGAGGGAAATCTCACAAATTTTTGTCTCTTGCCCCCAAGAAAAGAAGGGTTGAGTGATCAGGCAGTGTGTTGTAATTACAACTTCTGGGTCCTCCCTCTGATCATGACACAGAACACAATCTTGTCTGTCCTGCTTTAGTTTCTGAAAGGCCTAAGCATCATATATACTCTTATTTCTCCCATTCCTGGGAGTCCTGTGCCCTTTGTTACACATTATCAGCCATGCCTTTGGGTACCTGCCCAAGGGTCGAAATCCGCCACGAGCCTGTTTTTCTCAGAAAGTGGCTGAGAACTTACACAACTTCAGTTCAGACAAAGCAGGGCACACAACCTCTTTTGTGCCACCTCATCTCAAAAATAGCACAGCTGGTGATGTGCTTGACAGTGTTGTCTCCAAAATATGCTGCCAGAACAAGTATCAAAGATGCCTGACACAAAAAAAACTCTACCTCTGGCTCACCAGTAGCCACTGACTCCACCAGTGGAGGATAAATTGCATTGTGGGTAGCTCCATAAGGGTGGCAGCAGCCTGCTTCCCAAGGGTTAGTCCTAGTGGATAAAAAGCCCAGGATGGGAACATCAAAGGAAGCTCCTTGAGTTTGTGGGTGTGCTGTGAAACTCCTTGCCACAGAATGCATGAAGCATCTACGAGTCCAAAATCAAAACAAATTCAAAAGTAAATGGACAAATTCCTTGGAGAAAAAGACACCACGGGCTATTAAATACAAAGACATAAGCTTATACCACCTTTCACCCCTCTTCACCCTTCTGCTTTGCTCTTTTTGTGTGATTTTCACATATTTGATATAAAACCCGTGCTGTTCCTGGAGGGCGATCATCCCTCAGGCACTTTTTGGTCTAGCTGAGGTCACATCCTATAAAAAGCAGAAATGCATATAGGAATGCAAATTATTTTCAACCGTCTGTTAGTGTGCATGGAATAATGTGCTGCTACAGGAATTGTGGCAGCTCTGGGCTTGTGCCTCTTTGCCTTGCTCTGCCATGACACATCCATGGGTGAGCTCTCCTCGGAGGCATGGGATCCATCACGTGAGCGTGGGTCTGGAACCCTCAAGAGCCAAAGTCTGTTGGGATGATTGGGCAGGGGGTGTCTGAGCAGTAGGCAGCAAAATTCCAAGCAGGCTGCTCCTGCTTGCTGCTGTTCCCATGGAAACAGGGGAAAGGCGAGAGGAAACACATCCCCAGCTTCTTTTGAAGATAAGCTCCTTCAGCAGCACCCCCGGCCATCACATCTATTCCCATAAGAAGCAGAGGTTGGCAATTCCCCTTGGATGCATCTCCTTGAGTGAGACCATCATGCTTACACACTGTTCCTTCCTCATCCCAGGCAACAGTGGACAAGGGCACGTCGATCATCCCATCGCCAAGGCTGAGCCTCAGAGCTCAGAAAAAGAGAAGTTTCCAGCAAATTCTGTAGCTTATGCTTCTCCCCAGTTTGGATCTGGGGAAGCACCTGCAGAGACACCTGATTTCCTGACTGTCAAGGAAGCTGGGCTGTACCTGCAATATCCAGACCTTGACAAGTACGGACCCTTCCCAAGCTCTGTGTGTGTCCCCACCATGAGTTTAGATTGAGGGTCTGAAGAAACTTTTCCACTCATCCTTGTAACCATGTTAGCTCTGTGGAGAAATAAGCTGCAGGTGGCCCTGCAATAGCTAGCTGAGAACCTTTGGGCCCAGTGCAGATCACAGCAGGGAAGATCCTGCCCAACCTAGGGTTTTCCGTGAGTGCCAGCACCAGCACTGACGGTCAGCACTACCCCGCTTCCCCCGACCAGCTGGGGTTCCCACAGATTAGAAAAGCAGACGGGGCTGTAAGCACATGTAAAGTGCTCCCGGTTCTCCCGCTTCATCCCGAGGGAAGGAAAACCCACGGGACCCCTCACCTCTCTATCAGCTGTGCAGCTGGGACCGAAGGCAGCCTGACGACCCTCGGCGCGGCTGAGAGCAGGAGCTTTTCCCAGCAACGCCGGGGGGCAGCTCCGCTCCCGGTGGGGCTCGGGAGGGGCTTCTGCACCGGGCTCCCTCCCTCTCTGCTGCCGGCCGGCGCCTCAAGGTCACCCGCCGCTCCGCTTGGGCGGCCGCGGATCCCGCCGTGCCCCCATCCCCATTCCATTCCACTCCAACTCCATCCCCATCCCAATCCCATCTCCGTACCGTTCCCCCCGCCTCCGCCGCGGCCCTCCCACCGCGGCTCTGCCCGCCCTCCGCCGCGTGTAGCGGCGCTGCGCTGCGGCGGGGCCGGGGCCGGCGGGCGGCCAGCGCTGCCGCCGAGCCGCGGCTGGGGGCGATGCTGGGGGCGAT